ACGCTGCATAAAGAGGACTATTGCAGAACTGAATTGCACTTGTTAAGAAATGGAAAAGACAGTATTGTGATAAGTCAAATTATTACGCAGACATCTATGTTCATTCAAATCAAATGTTTACAGTGGGAATCATCACAAGGGACTTATGGGAGCGCTTGACGGACTAATGGACTCAGTGGAGCCGTGAAGACATCTTAAATGTGCCTCGGAGTTTAAAGCCTACTTAACTGTGATGTTGAACATTTCATGTTGTTCTGCTTTGCATATGTTTCCAGTAGGAAGGACTTACAGTCCGGCATAACGAGTTATGTTTTGTGTATTCAAATACTGACCATTTATGTCAAGCTCTTTTTATATAAATGTGGTGATTTGTTTCATATGTATATATTGATATAAATTTAAAAAGGTCACTTTGCATTTTAAACATGATCATGCTAATCTAACATGGTCAGTGCAGATTATTCCATAAAATGCACCATTGATCATCAGTGTGATGCTTTGATGGTAGAGATTATTTTGTGGTTTTGCCACTTGCAGTGGACAAATACAGCAGAAAGGCAAGAGGAAATGCAATCAGAACATGTTGCAGGCCGGACTAGAACCTGCATTATTCACATGAGCACTACAACTATAAAAAAAAAACTGTGGTGGTGTTTTCTACTGGTAGCTATTGTATTTGCTCCCAGAAATTCAAGCCATATCCTGTTTTGTGTTTTGTATGGTCAGGAAGTTGTGACCCTATCTGGAAACAGACCTTCCCAAAGGACCCCAGCAGGGACACTAGGTTCTTCCCCAGTGGAGATTCCCAACAGTCTATTCCCTTCAAGCCAATTTTTTCCCCATCCATAAATACCTCGTTTTAATTGACACTGGGAGTTATTATCGAGTCGTATTTCACTAATGTTTTCTAAAGGATTAGCAGAAACATTTTATTTTGAGGTGCATCAAAATAAAATCTAGCTGTAGTGCCTTTTGAAGACATGTTCTTATATAATGGTTGCCTTTTCATGTGCAATACAGATGATGTGATATTTATCTGACCTCTTCCTTTTTTCCCTCGAGATGTATTAAACAGTGGTTCAATGTCTTGAATGTACAGTACAGATGAAAGAACATTTTAACTTTATTGTAAAGAGTCCTGGAACTCTAATTTTGAACGGAAGGTAATGTATTAATAAATTATTTCATTAAAAACAGTTCTTTCAGTACTTTGTCAGCATACTTTGAGTGTGTCTGTAATATATACTGGGATCAAGAAGTAGTAATTAAGTTTTTCTTTCTAATGGAAATTTCTGTTCATTCCCTGGTTGGATGTGCGACCATGAAACTGGCTTTATATGTATTTATACAGGGATCAACGTCGAAAAATGGCATCAAACAAGGATGAAAATAAATTTGCAATGATTTTGATAAAAATCGGTATTTTAACAATTACATATAAATAATAATAATAATAGTTTTATCATCATTATGTGGCATTTCATGTATGCAAAACCAAATCCATAAAACAACATATTTTGTACAACTATTTTATTTTACAACTACTATATACGTACAGCTTGTATTTACTATGCAAATTTAGACTCAAACCAGCTCTCATGAGCTATCCTTCAATCCAATTATTTGTTTTAGGAGAACAAAACATGGTTTCTCCCCTCCAATAATGACATTCTTAAGCACTGTTTGCTCACCCCACCCATAAGTCTGTGGGACTGCAGTCAAGCTGAAATGAGTGGGATGCATTGTACAGGGCCAAGTCAACTGACAAACTTGTGGCCTGTTTTTTTAATGGTGTGCATGGCTGAGGCCCTGCGGGAAAAGTGACAGCTGGAACAGGGGACAGTAAGGCTGGGAATTCCAGTGGCATCAGCTGAGATGAACAGATGTGGAGGGCTCTGATTCTAATGAAAGTGTTTTTTTAGATATGTACGCATTGGCCCCCCGACTGAGCCTGGTTTCTCCCAAGGTTTTTTTTCTCCATTTCTGTCACCGATTAAGTTTTGGTTCCTCGCCACTGCCGCCTTTGGCTTGCTTAATTGGAGGACACAATTTCCGGCAATATTATTGACTTGATTGCACTACAGTATTGGAAGAACTGAACACTATTGAAAGTGTATTGGATTACACTATTGAACTGGATGATGACATCACTGAATCAACAATGAACCGACTCTTGACCTTTTACATTATAAGCACACATTTTTCCTGTTTAACACCGTAAAGCTGCTTTGACACAATTTGTATTGTACAAAGCGCTATATAAATAAAGGTGACTTGACTTAAGTAATGGCTGTGATCGAGGACTGGAGTAATGGCTCTGAAAATTCAGCTTTGCATCACAGGAATAACTTATATTTTAAAATATATTCAAATAGAAAACAGTTATTTTAAATAATAATATTTCACAATATTGTGATCTATTTGGATTTGTATATTTTGATCTAATAAATGCAGCCTTGGTGAGCATGAGACTTCTTTTAAAAAAAAAAAAAACATTAAAGATGGTAATGTATTTGTTGCGTTTAGTTCTGATTCCTCATTAGGTCTGTTATTAAATACATGATGTCCTAACCAATAGGAAACTGTGTATTCTCTCTCATGTTTTGTTAACAGTCTACATGGAGAGGAAGTGAGTCTGCTGTCATGGTGTGCAGTCGACGACTTGGGGCTAAAAACACAAACAATTGTGGAGATGGTTATTGATTTCAGGAAGAAGAACACCCATCTCCTTCCTCTAGAAAAACTCCATCATCAGGACACAACAACCAGAAATATCACAACAATTATATTTTTTATTTTTATTTTTTTGCTTACTATTTTACTGTAGTGTTCAATGTATTATTTATCTATTTTTTGTCATTTTTAATTTAATTAATTTTTTTATGTATTTATTTTAATCTTGTTTTATTCACCTTTATACTGTTTTCTTTAAACATTTCCATTGACCCTCTTGCATTCCCTTGTTCTTTCTTTATTTTAGTTTCATGTATTTTATTATTTATTTTAATTGTTTTTTTATTTTAATCAGATTTTTTTATTATTTATTTTTACATTTTTATACTGTTTTCTACTCCAATTTGCTTTATTTATTTGCTTTATTTTTTATTTATTTGAATACATTTTTATTTATTTATTCATTTGTATCCATTTATTTATTTTAATCCTATTTATTTGATTTGACATTTTGTGCAGTTTTTCACTACACATTTCCACTGACCCTCTAGCACTCCCTTGTGGCCCTCTTACTAACCCGCAAACACACAACACACACACACACACACACACACACACACACACACACAGGCGGGTGTAGCGTGACTCTGGTGACTCTGTCACACATCCCTCCTCCCCTCTGCTCACCATCACACACACACACACACACACACACACACACACACACACACACCCACCATGAGGGCAAAAGAGTCATTTACTGCAGACACATCTCTTATGACATCCATACAGCAGCTTACAGGAAGTGCAGTGCAACCCAAAATCTGAGTCACTGAGAAATGACAGGAATGTATCTCTAAAATCTGCGAGAGGAGAGATACTTCCGCTCAACACAGAGCCATAAACATTTGGCACTTCATGAAGAGGATGACTTGTTTGTGTCCTGCTAACAGTCAGTAACTCAACCCGAAAGACACCCATATATTTCCCTTGGGCGTAAAGCCACTCAAAGCAATCCACTAGTTTGCTGGTTTAGTCAAATAAGACACTATGCAAATGTTTGTTTTCAGTCTTGCAAACCATTTCAACGTCACTTCTGAATTAATATATGCCTATTCAAGAGTTATGATTTTTTTTAGACATATATGTGCAACAGCATCTTTTCAAAGCAGCCAAGTAACATAATCAGGCATTTTTAAAAACAGGCACTATGTTAATATTTTCACTCAAGCGCACACACCGTGTTTCCAAGGCAATAGCGCCATCTTGTGGCGTTACTTTATCAGTAACGCTGCCCAAATATTTAATAGAAATGCATTTTGGCTCTTTCAGGTGCTGTTTTGCTGTGACCAAGTGAGTATGTGAGGTATGTGGGGATTTTCCCAGTATAATTACCAGAAATGTATAGGTATGATGTTGAAAAAATGGCGCTTAAATATGTATAACTATATGGAAACAATTAAAGCATTAGGCTGTATTAATATTGTGTATCACCGCACTATTGCGAGTGTGATATTGCTTCCATACAACAAGTTCTTGAAAAACGTAATTAATATAGAGTAACTTACGTTTGAGGTTAAATGGGCCAGTTAGCTCGCGTGTTTCTTGCCCGCCAACTAAAATATTTCCAAAGAAGCTAAAGCATGGGTGCCCAAACTCGGTCCTGGAGGGCCTGTGTCCTGCAGAGTTTAGCTCCAACTTGCCTCAACACACCTGCTGGTAAGTTTCTAGTATGCCTATAAGAGCTTGCTTAGCTGGTTCAGGTGAGTTTAATTGGGGTTGGAGCCAAACTCTGCAGGACACCGGCCCTCCAGGACCGAGTTTGGGCACCACTGAGCTAAAGCATCAAGTCTGAGTATCAGCAAGCAACGCGTAGATGAACAACTGGAATCTGGAGTTCAGAATATGAGTGGAGCGGAGCGACAGATTCCCCCTCTCCCGCTCAAAGCGTTCTATAATTACTCCTCCTCCTCTTCAGATCCATTCCAGGTTTTTCATTTCAACCAATCAAACGCTCGATGGTGTGAGCGGTCTAATCTTTTCGTGCTTCCAGCAACGGCGGCAAGATGTTATTTTGATTATAATAAAATTAATTTGTCTACAAAGGACTGTTATTATCCTTTGAGATGGAATATTTATATATGACAAAAATTCCTTATCAAAACCATTAAAAAGGATTATTGCTTTTCTTTTTTACTATATTACAGCCATAAAACATACTACAAAAAAAATAGAAAATCACCACAAAAGGTTTATTCAAGGAGATAAAATTCAAACACACAAACACAGACTGCATTTTCAACAGTTAAAAAAAAAATCCAAGTAATTTCACAAATATATTATTTTCCCATGATGCTGTTGTGGCTGTACAATATTTCTCTGTTATGTCAACATGGTGTAGCAATATGAAAAACGATTTGGATACACAAGACAGTATATTCAATTAATTAAAATCTGTGATTATTTACTATTAATGGACTACTACTTCAAAACTTCAAAATCTTTATTTAGTGTAATACTGGCATCAAAACAATCATAACAATACTACCAGTCATACTCCAGAAAATCTAATTTAAATAGTCAAGATCTGTTTCAAATGCACAGTATATATAACAGCACTCTTTGGACATGGACACAAACTTATGAAGAGTTTAATACTATATTTTAATATTTAATATTTTAATTATGGAATTGGAAATGGATATTGATTAATCATTGTTGAACATATTTAATATCGTAAACACAAATACTGAGACTTTTATCTCGTTCCCAAATTTGTTAATGTAACAAACAGCTTATGTTTCTCTCACAAGCACTTAAAATTTCTCAGAAACATGCAGTTAAAATCACTGTTGGAAAGTCAGAATATTCTGCAGTTATTTGGAATAAAATGTACATGATATAAAAATACCTGCCTGAACAACTCACTGTTGATTTAAAATAACTAGCACTTGAATCAACAATTAGTGTCTGAATTTAAATGTCAGGTGAAAGGTCGATATTTATATCTAAACTCTTAAAGAACATAAAAAATGAAGATAAAATCACTCTATCATTAGAGGGAGATTAAGTACATTTTTTGACACAATGAGTGTTTTCTCTGATTTGTATGTTCACACGCACACGAACACAAATTTTGTCATCCATCCCTCAAAATAACAGAGATTACCTTTTAGATTTGACAAAATGAGAGCACTATTGAAGGAGCAGCAAAATAACATACCTGCGGATCCCATTTGGTATAACTAAACTGACATATCTGTAAATATATGTATATTACATATATACAAATAAGAGCCATCGTAATAAATGTAACATCCATCCAAAACGCATATTTCCCAAACCCCGTAAGTGCAAACACAATCTTCCAGGCTATGTGTATCTCTTGCCATGTAAACTGATTATGGCTCTTTCAAAACATGGAGTGAGAAACCATATACTATATACAATCAGTAGAAATCATACAGCAACTAATTAACCGGTTAACATGACAGACCAGAACCTGACCAGGGGCTATCTGAAGGCAGGGTTGACCTTTTGTAATGGCAAACCCAGGCTTGGATGAGAGACACTGGTGTAGTGAACAGTGAGAAGGCGGTGTGGTTGTAGGTCAGAGGTGAGGCGGGACGGTCTGTAGGGCGTCTTCGGTAGTCCGGAGCACATTAACATTCTAGGAAGAAAAACAGAAAATGACAAACCATTATATTGTTGTGTTTTTTAAAAACTCCCTGTTATCTTAAAACAACTATTTATTTATTTATTTTTTTTGAACTGGTACTGGTAAAGTTCTTTTTAAACAACACACACA